CAAGAAAAATTGGGTTTCGATGAATATCTTGATTCACAATTGTTGAGCTTACTTCCATTTCGAGTGAAAGTGTCAGGTTAAGAGATTCGAAAGTCGATTCTACCAGAAGACGACGGCGGATTCCTCTTGACCAGCTGTCGATTGGCTTTACTGGAAGATTCATGTTGACGCTATTTCCGAGGCAGTCTCATTCGATTCCGGTGAAAAGGTGCTAAGCTTTCGTCCGTCATATGACAACATCATCAGATCAAGGTATCATCGTCACAACAAAATTTAAGCTAACAAGTCAAGAACACTCACAGGCTTTGAGGTTGTCATAAGATCGTAACTAACCCAATCACTTTATACCTGCTCAAAGAGGCCAGATGTAGAGTATATATACCACTTTTAGGGATTTGCCGGTGAGTTTTCTTGACTTGTTAGCTTGAATGTGGTTGTGACGATGATACCTCGCTCTGATGACGTCCGTCATATGACGGACAAAAGCTTAGCACCTTTTAACCGGAATCGAAGGAGATTGCCTCGGAAATAGCGTCAGCATTAATTTTCAAATGAGGCCAATTGACAGAGGGTCAAGAGGAATCCGCCGTCGTCTTTTGGTGGAACCGACCTTCGAATCTCTTCTCCCAACTCTTTCACTCGAAATGTAAGTAAGCTCAACAGTTATTTGTTAAGCCAATCACTTAGCTCATATTAGTAGCATTGAAAGTGTTTGCGAATCTGCCTATTTCAACAGCTGCTCTAATAATTCGTCAGTTTCGATCCGGTAACAGACCCTTCGTGGCCAACCGCTGTCCACTCTCCACATGCTATGGCAATACCACCCTTTTGTTAAGAGTGGTCGGCAAGGTTTGCAGGTCGTGAATAAATGCAAAACTTGCAAAACTCCCCAAGTTGGTTGTAGATCTGCGCTCAAGGAAGTGGTGCAATGACCGAAGAGAATGCTAGCTAGTGTCTTGACAGAAGAGCTTAAGCATGTTTCGGCCACCCCCTCCAGCATGACAGAAAAGTTACGTTTTTCATTCTCTCTCTCTCTCTTTCTCTGATATGTCAGTATCGAAGTCCTGGCTCCGTTATAAACTGCAAAATTGCCTAGCGACCTCAACTGCAAATCTCACTATCGGAGTCCACATCTCGGTACCAAAACTTGGCAGAGCAGAGTTGATAAGGCTATTCACAGCCCGCCACCCGTTACATCCTCCGCAATTTGCAAGCTGCAGGCTTGATGCCATTTTCAATTAACTAAAGCATTCTTCGATTGTAAAAATACTTTTCGTCGTCCAAGCAAGCTACCGGTAGCCCATAAATTAGGCTAAAAATAGCCTGGAATGTCCCATTTAGAACGAGGTTGTGACGCGAATTTCGCCAAATTGCAGTGCGCCACCAATAAACGTCACACTCCTGCTGTCGCCCAGTTCGGGTTAGACCAACAAGGTCGCGGACCACAAACGATCTGGGAGACTGGAATATATGTCCTCGTGTGTCGTCTGGTGCTGCCTGCCTCCGTATTCCTGGATTATGGGAAGGAGAGGGAGTGACCGCCCTTGTAGCCTCGTGAACTAGACTCCCGTCGCTATGGCAATCCAGTGCGTAACGAAGGTGGAAGTTCTAGAGTTCAGCGTCATCCACGAGCCAACTTTAGACGTCATTTCCTTTATTTAAGCTCAAAAATCCCGCGCGTCCATAAATGCACGAGTAATAGAGAGAGACAGAGACGGCATCGACGCTCGTAAATAATTTATAAACACATATTTACCGTAACCTGATCAAGCCCAAATTGTCGTGTTCTCATAATCCTTCCTTGTTGAAGAGCAAATAAAATTATGTTTCTAAACCCAATAATTACGTTCCACATTTTGCTCCACCACAAAACCCTGTGTTTAACAAGCAAACAATGGCCTGGCAACCTCAGGCTGCTACGACTAATGAGGTTAAGCCTTTTAAACACTGTCAAACTCGAAAAAATTAAAAATTAAATCATCACGAATAGATTGCCGGTCCAAAACGTCGCGACCTCTTTATTAATTGATGTACGAATTCGATCGATAAAGGCTCATCCCAACTAACGATAGCTCGGTATTTTGTGTCCCTTCAACGGATTTGTCAACCACAAACCTCAAAAAGTTGTGGATGAATAAATATGTGAAGGCAAAAGACCGAAAAAATGTTAAAGTTTCTCGTTGAAGGTCGCTGAAATCATCTTTAAAATGGACTGAGATTGAAGTGAACAGAGATAATTGACGCTTCTTCACTAAATATGTACACTGGTGTCTGTGTGTGCATGTGCTTACGTATGTGCTGTGCTTATACCCTCGGAATTCTGGCCCCGTCCACTTCAACTACACGAGTCGAGTGACTAAATTTCCTAATTCGAGTTGCCAAAACTAACTACTCATTAACTACTTCCATTGTGTCTGCGCTTTCGACGTACAGAGAGATGGAATACTTTAGTCGCCAAGCCTTTGAATGGACCAAACTCTTATCATGCCACTTTGGTAGTCGTATTGGTGCACTAATTGTACTTCATCCATTAAGATAAACCCTAGAACGAGATCATGGTATCGTACCTCTTCCCAGACACAATTCTTCCGAGCTCCCCTTTGGTAAACCAGATTTCTCAGCAGACAGCCACTTTATGACGTGCTCGTCCGTAGATGCACATGATGCAACATGTCTTAAAGTGGCTAATGGCCAACAGATTCGGTGTAGCAAACACGGGAAAAGGCATCTGCCTGAGCGCTAGCTTGTAGAATCTACCTGCTTCTTGGATCAGACGTAGCCATCTCACTTGGAAATCCTATACTTGGTAGACTGTTCAGGCTAGTTGGGACTGATGGGCAGATTTGATTGCGAAATAATTTGGCTTTGTAATAATACAAGAATATTCAGATTGTATTCATGGTTTAAAGAAATATCCTTCTACTGTCATCTGTTGCAAGATGGTACATGATTTGATGCCGATTGGGCTAGCGGATAAAAACAGTACCGAGCAGGATACCACAGAAAACGAGGCAAAGTCTCAAGTATAAGATAGTCTATATATAATGCATATATAATAATAGTGCTTTAATGGATGAGCCTTGACATAAATCAACTAAATAGGAATGATCTTGTAGATACGAGTTATCAGTTTTCTCATACAATAATTTGCCTCAAATGACGGCCATTTGATGAGATCATTTGTGTGTCCACCGTCTCTCAGGCCACAGGGGACAATGTGTCGGTCACTAATGTTGACGGCACAAATGATACTCATCATCTTGTCACTCGTCCGACCCAAAGTCAGGGCTCCAAAATGGCGACATACCTTTTTGCAAAACCATACTCGGCGGAGGCCTGTATCCAAAAGGGGCTTGAAGACATACGAGTTCTGGTCTGCTTAGTCCTGTAGGTTGCATCCACTCGAATCCTCCACTTTCGGATGAGGCTGATGCGAACCAAAAGCTTGGATGAATACCTTCTCCCATTGGAAGGCCAGGCATTCACGTCTATGTCTGCAACTTGGTTTCTAAATCATTACAACATCTCACTGCTTCAGTCAGAATAACAAAAGGTATTTTCGCTTTTCCCGATAAAAAACAAACATTTAAAGGGACTATCCGTGAGGACAATTCTAAATCGCTTAAGGCATGCTGCGGCTTGCATACATACATCGACATGAAGTCGTCACCATAGTCACTGGTATCTCCACCCAGTAAATAACCACCTTCCAAGCAGACCGCCAAAAGGGTTGGTCTATAAACCAGTGCCTATAGGCAAAAGTCGAGAGTACACCGTCATTTGAAATACTATTTCGCGAGACAGCTCCATTGTCAAATTGTCATCTCGAGAATAGTTGCTTTATTTAACTATTATCAAATGACGAAGCTTTTGTAAATGTCAGAAAAAGGGATACATTTCACACCAAAATTGTGGCAAATGGACATCCCAATTGATTGTATTGATGCCTTCTGGCCTAAGCAGACTTGGATAAATTGTTTGCTGTGCCATATTTCCCTAAAGACTGCTATTCAGACTAGACCGTGATTACAACCCCACTCTTTAAGTGTAAATCAACTTCGGTGCTTTGCATAAAATACCTGCGAAAAGCTTGAGTGTCAGAATTTGGAAGCCAGAGTGGCTTATCTTGTCTATCTGTCACCCCCAAAATTAGACTAGTTTTCTCTTGTTCATATAGTCATTGTGTACTAC